TTTTCTTTCTTAAAAGCCGCATAAGGGGTATATTTTTTCTGATCTCAAATTTTTGTTTAAGCATTAACCTTTATTTTCTATTTCATGAATTATCCGCTGAGAGTCTAGTTAATTAATTTATTTAATTAAAGCTATATAGTAACATATAATGAAATTATTTCCTTGTGTGAGACCTAAAGAAAAACCAGGTTACTCATTTTTACGACAATTTCTTTGATTTCAGGAGTAGCCTCCCCTTTTAAAGATCCAAAATGGTGATTTTACAGTGCAGCATGCAGTGTGGTCAACAACGGAGAGTTTTGACACCCGTGATACCCATATTTCCACCATTCACCTCTGTAACCTTTGTTGAGTTCATCAGACAGGTAAGAAAAACAACCCGTACGAAATTTAAGTCACGTATTTTTTAAAAAATCCAGGCGTATTTTAATCTAAAAATCCTTGTGGAAATCTCTATTGAAATGAATATATAAAACCAGGCGTATAATGTAAAATACAGGCGTACACGAGGCGTAATCCTCCCGTATTTTTGGCCGAAATATGCAAATGAGTACGCCTGGAAATTCAAAATACGTCTGGAAATTTTAAAAATAGAATTACGCCTAGATTTTAAGCATACCCTTAAAAATACGCCTGCAAAATAAATACACCCGTATAAAAGAATACGCCTGTACAAAAAAATACGCCTGTACAAAAAATACGCCTGCTTTAAATAGATTTGAATTAAATATTAATTATATTACAGCAATGGGAGCTACAACTATAGCATGAATATAAATGTACAATCAACTTTAGTACAAAGATTTTTGACTACATATGCTAAAAAAGATTAGACAAATTAAGCTAAGCATACATCACTTTTATTTTCTTAATATTTTTCAGTGTGATAAAATGTGAATGAGATTCATTAGTAAAGGATTGTCATTAAAATTTAAAAAATCATAATCTTACATTTACTTTTTCAAAGCACAGTTACATGTTAGAATATATTAACCGTTTCACAGCATTTTAATATCCAAGGCTGAGTTTTATAGTAAACAGTTGAAACATTCCAATAATCACAGTGAATCACAGTTTTGAGAATCATGCCGAGTACTCCTGCCATTCTTTTTACTCCTAAATTGGCATAAAAGATGCAAATCATGAGCAATTCTGTCATTCACGTTTCACATCACATTTCCCAATCACATTTTCATAGATTGAACTATTCACAAAAAGAAGTTTGAATGCTTTATAACTGGCATTGCAAACGGTCATCTTCTTCCTGATGCAATCTTCCAATGGCTACAGTTCACTGGCATTATTGCATTTATGGAAAGCTATGCTGCTGGTCAACTCTTAATATTTTATTTTAATATTTTAATATTTTAATATATTTTAAGATCTTTTCTCCTCCTCTTATGACCATTCATCATTCAATCAATTTTCCAACTGTGATAAGGATTTAGATGTAAATCATTTTCTGGAAAAAGAATAATTTATGTAATTCAAAATACTACTGACCCAATTTTCAATCATTAACATCTGGCTCTGCAAATCAAAAGCAAATGCAGCTGTCTTTTATTTTCATAGATAAAAAGTTTCAATGTTAAGCTATGTTTTCAAAATATTTACCTCTTCTACACCATCTGTGCTTTGTTGTGGCTTTCTCTAATCTCATTGTTCTTGGCATGACCTGCCTGGTGGTTTAAAATTGGCGCAAATACTTGGATGCAGATGCTGTTATTTACAACCCCCTAGTTAGCTAAACTCTTTTATGATTTCTGGAAGTTCTACTCAGTACAATTTGTAATTTTGAAGAAAAATGCTGTTTTGTTTACAGCTAGAACATAAAAATAAAATTCCATCAATGTATAAACAAGGTGTATTCATTATATGAATTAAAAAGATACTAGGGTGGGAAATAGAACTGCTGTACACAAACCGGATATAAATTGATAAGCCGTTCTTAAGTTTACAACATCACAGATAAGCCGTTCCTAAACATGCTCAACACATCTGTAAGTAATTAGCACAATCCCTCCAGGTTAGGCTAGGGAAGTGAAAGTTGATGGTAATGTAACAGAGTATCTAAATATACCAAATATAAATCATTTTATAAGAAAAACATTTAATTGTAATAACATGTACTATCTACTTTACAGTTATAGAAATCATTTGTGTTAAGAAAAATAATATCAATTTTTAAAAAAAAAAATGGGAATGACAAAATTTTAGGTCCATGGGATAATGTTCTAAAAAAAGAAGTTCTAAAAGAAAAAATCAGTTTAATTTATGAAAAATAATTGCTTTGATATTTAATACAACAAACTAAATGCAATATTGTAATGTATACAATCATGCAATACTTTCTTTTTTTTTGTTTAAGTTATATAATATAATAAAAATGTTTCTTATGCAACTCAATACTTTAAAAAAAAGAGAATGAGTTGACTAAGTTTTTTTGGCTTAGTTGAAAAATCCACCCGAATTTTAAAAAATACGCCTTTTGAAATTTTCTAAGTTTTAATTTCCTTGTGCCAAAGAGACTAAGTAGAAAATACGCCCGGATTTAGAATTTACGCCTGGAAAAAAGGAGACGTATTTCTGGCAAAAATACGTGTACGCCTGAAAATGAACCGTATTTTTAAGAATACGTCTCTTGTACGCCAGGATTTGCAAAAAATCCAGGCATAATACGTCTCTGAATTTCGTACGGGAATATTATTACTATCGTTTTACTAACAGCGTGACAGTTTGCTTGATGGGGCGTGCTAAAATTTCAAATGCTGATTATCATTTTACTCCTCGATTGGATGTTTGATTTCAATGGAATCAATAATACTTTGCATATGAAACACAGAACCCAGCAATACCACTGACAATACTGACCAATCGCATGGAATAAACAACAATTACATGTGAACGGACGAAGCAAGTTTTACTTCCTATAATGATGATATTGATAGCTACATAGTACAACAGTAGCAGAGTAGCCTAACTAATTCCATTCTTTAAATTTTCTTATACATTTTATACGTATTCAAAAACCCATCCGGTCAAATCACAACAAATATAATATATGTTTTTTGGGACAGATAACGGGCTTTGACTGACCACGTGTTGCTCCTTACTACAAATACTGTACTGGAAAAGAACCATTCAATTTGATTGGCCAGTATTATCGGGGTATTGTTGTATTCCGAGTTTCATATGAAAATTAGTATTGATTTCATTGATCCAATCGATGAGTAAAATGATAACCAGCACACAAAATTTTAGCACGCCCCATCAAGCAAACTGTCACGCTGTTTGTAAAATGATAATAATTGAAATAATTTTATCAAGATAAATTTTACACATTGCAATTATACATCATTTACAAATCCACATTTTCCCCATTTACACATGCAGTTGAATAGATTTAGTGCTTATTAAAAAACTTCTATGACGTCACCCATTGTTATTAGTCTACATATATTTTACCGATTCAACCAGCACCAGTTGGATATTTGAAGATCCAACTGGCCATTAGTTGGATATTCAAAATATCCAAGTGCCTAACGGTTGGATATATATTAAAATACCCAACTGAGGTGCAGAAAACATAAAACAATGAACAAAAGAGATAAAACAATCTTAAAATATATTTCCAATGCATATGAAAAATAAAACAATTACTCCAAATTTGCCACACTATTATAAGTAATTTCCAGTGCACACGGAATTACCGTAATAACTTCACATTTATTACATTTATTTTCTTTCAAATGCACTTCCAATGCTCACAACAATTCCTCCGAATTTTGCACACTTTTAGGAATGTTTTTGGTCTTAAATCTTGAAAGCATCACTTTTTAACACATAAATACATTTTCACCTTGAATCTTTAACTGCATCACTTCTTATTGCTAAATATTATTTCAGGGTCCATTATCAGTAAATCCCTTCAGATTATCCGATATTCATCTCTGTTTCATTCTTTTCCGGCATATTTCCCAAAAGAACTTAAATAATTGACAGCCCATCTATTTTTTGACACCATTTTGATTGCAGATCTTGATATGGAATTTTTTATAACAGGTTCAGCATAACACCGCCAATCTTTTTATCTGTTTAAGCACTATTACAAGTATTGTCCGAATGGAACTCCATAAGAATTCAACGCTTTTCCTCAAGAAACCATCATCTTGTGATATGTAATGACAAATTCCCAACCTTTTATAAAATGTCTGTAGTTTTCTTCAGCTTTCAGGTCAAAAGTATTCAAAACACTATCTGAACCTATCTAATTTACATTGGATTTAAAAATATTCTTTTGTCTGATCTAATGACTGTTCAGTACAATGAAAAGGGTTAAAATGAAATCAGCACCATGTAGTTTCATACTCACTATTCCATGAATAAAAGGGGTGTTCGATTAGGCTATTGTTTTGTGTCACGGTTGGATATTTGAATGGGCTACATCCTATTGTATTACAGCAAGTTGGATATTTGAAAGGGGAAATGTTTCTTTGGGGCCAAAGGTAGGGAATTTTTTTAAGTAAGATAAATAACTCGATAGTGTTTAATAGTTTAGAGAAAACATCCCCTCCTCGGGCCTTCGGCCCTCGGAGAGAATGTTTTCTCTAAACTGTTCAACACCATCTCGTTATTCATCCCTTACATAATACATAGCAACAATTATTACATGTAAGACAATTCACAAAATACATGAATGCATTAAACTGTGAAATACAGATTTCGTACATTTAATTAAAATGCACAGCATCAATACCCCCCCCCCCTTCACAATCTTGCAACTTTCTTTTTAATGCAAATTCACTAGGCAACACTAAAGATTTCCACTTATTGCTTTTCAGTCCAAGACAGGAAGTTGAGGAATAAAGTTGACAGGACATCCTGAACTGTCCTCGGTACTAGCTTATGAGGGAACCAGCCGCAGTGGACAAAGCACGTTACATCATAGGATAATAGGTAAGTCTCCGGAGTATTGTTTGTAGCAATTCTCTCAGTACTTGGTCCTGCATCGAAGCTTCAGGACTATTGATATTTATCTCTGCATGGATTCTCTTATGGCTTTGGTTCTTCCCAGAAACATGTTACTGGTGGTGGTCCCTATATTCTTCTGGCTTTTGTGGTGAGGAATGTTTCATTTTTAGCTCTTTTCTGATCACATTTTGTCCGGCGTCCGTCTATCTAGCTGTCTGTCCGTCTGTCTGTCCATCTGTCTGTCTGTAAACTTTTCATATTTTCGACTTCTTCTCAAGAACCCATGGACCAATTTCAACAAAACTTGCCACAAAGCATCCTTGGGTAAAGGGGATTCAAGTTTGTTCAAATGAAGGGCCATGCCCTCATTCAAGGGGAGATAATTGGGAATTAATGAAAATTTGATGGTATATTTTAAAAATCTTGTTCTCAAGAACCACTGTTCCAGGAAAGATGAAACTCATGTGGAATCATCCTCAGGTAGTGTAGATTGAAGTTTGTTCAAATCATGACCCCTGGGGGTAGAGTGGGGCCACAATGTCTGACCAAAGTTTAACATAGAATAATATATAGGAAAATTCTTTAAAAATCTTCTTCTCAAGAATGACAATGCCATAATTGATCCTATTTATATGGAAGCATCCTCAGGTAGTGTAGATTCAAGTTTGTTCAAATCATGATCCCCGGGGTAGGGCCCCCACAATGGAAGATCAAAGTTTTACATAGAAATATATTGGAAAAATCTTTAAAAATAACTTTCTCAAGAAAAGCAAAGCCATGATTGATCATGGGACTACTTTTGGATTTAAACTTTTCAATAATAAACCCATTTTTACTTTTTCCTAGCCACAGTGCTCAGGTGAGCGATGTGGCCCATGGGCCTCTTTTTTTTTTTTAAATTATCAATCATTAAAAATAAATAAATCAGTCGTAAAAAAAATTTGCTTCATATTTGAAGTGCTTTAAACCGACCCTTTGATGAAAGTGACCAGTGTTTTTTGCACCAAGAGTTAGCAAAGCTTGAAAGGTTTATTGGTAAAATATAAGAAGGAAGTTATGATTTTGGTGTTACTATTGTTGTTATTTAAGTTTGATTTGATTTTTACATTAAGAGTATTATGAAACTGTTATTTTGTTACTGACCGTTGGTTAATTTTCATTGTGAACAAATGTACAAAGATGAGGAGCATAATATAGTTGGCTATGTATATTGCCCAATTTTTTAACATACTATGTAATAAATATTAATAACAACCTTTGAATAATTGGAAAGACAATATTATAAATATGATAGCATATTTGTACATGAGCATACATTTTTGAAAGGAAAAAAAAATCATTCAGTTGCATTTAAAAAAATAAATTGTTTCATATTCTTGCGAATTATCAGATCATTCTTCTATTATTCTAATACTCTGTCATTATGAAACCTTTTTAATAATTTAGTAAATATTAATTGTACATTTGCACCAATTTTTCCATGGCACTTTTACACTAAGAATGCCATGTGCAAAATTATGTACAAGAACAATTCTGAATATATGCAAGTGAGTTGTAAATTTGATATGTAATGCATACATTACAAAAACACATTACAGTGTTCACTAAAATGAAATATATGGACTCTTATATTAATTGCTTGGTATATGTGATATGGATATTATGGATATTATTTTTGAGAATGACACAAGTAATGAAATTTTTCAGCATTGAAATGGATTCTTGAACCAGAGCCATGTGAACCTGGTCCACCTGTACCTCTCATTGAAGACCTGTTAACATCACCAGAGTATGTTCATTCTGATACCCCTATGGTATGGTTACGACATGCATTATCCCTGTCAGATGAAGCCATTAAAAGAGCTGCATTGGCAACAATTGGGCAACGAAACAACCCAATGTGGCCGATTGTAAGGAAATACAGAATAACAGCTTCCAACTTTGGTGCAGTTCTCAGTTCTAAGCAAAGGCGGTGATTAAATTTTTGCGAAATAGACTTTTTGAATTACAGTCAAACTTTGTTATCTCAAACCCATTATCTCAAATTCCATGGATATGTCAAAGTAATTTTGAAGTCCAAACTATTTATAAAAGACTGGGACATTTTATTCTCAATAACTCTTTATGTATTATTCTTGAATCCACGGATATTTCCAACATTTTTCTTGGTCTCATTGAGTTTGAGATAATGAGGTTTGACTGTAATGACTAGATATTTGTACATATAGATGCAGGAAATATAAGATTAACTAGATACGTTCTCGTTGCGAGCAACGAGAGGTCTTCCGTCCGATTCAGGAAAAAAAATTCGTAAAATCGAGCTGAAAAGTGATTCAGAATTTTGGTCACAAGGAGGATAGAAGCCAGGTCGCCAACGTGAATGCGCTTTTTTTCTCTTTTATCCCCAACAGGCAAAGCATTAAGCTATTGGGAGCACTGCTATAAATACACTTGTGTATAATTTTGCAACAGTACACCTGTCTAAGAATTATAAAAGGTGGGCCACTATTCATAATCTCGCGCCAAACGCCACAAGTAAATATTCGTGCCTTTTCTTTGGACTGATCTATCAAACAGGTGTGATAGCTTAATTAGAAATTAAATTATATAAAACAACTTCTTATCGCGCCTTTACTTTATTTCGACATTAAGAAAGTATATTCAACACATAATACACAATACATATCGTATCTAGCCCAGTTACACTAAAGCAGTGAGACGGAAATTAAGTTTTAAGATTGACACTGAATTGCAACGTACTACTACGTGAAAGTCCAACCTGCCTGGTGTCTTACTGCTTACCAAGTTGCCTATATAACTCTAGCCAAGTAGCTACAATATACTTACACAGTATTTTACTTTGTAAGAGCTTCTCTGTCCTAATGACAAACCTAACGTCACACATCTATAATTTAACTAGTCACTGACTACGGCAATTTTGCACAAATCGATTTGATCGATACACTAATTTATTTCTGTACCAAAGTGAAGACACAAGACATTTGGCTGTACTGCCCTCTTGTACCTCAACTTAATCAATGATCATAAGTTATCAGATATCATATTGATAAAATACTACAGACTGCCTTTTTTTTGGCAGCACTATTATTATTTTCTAACAGAACATCATTTATCAATAAAACTTGTATAATTCTTTTGTCAATTGACCAATTAATTACAATATTTACATTGATTATCTATTATAATATAAACAAGTAACGGGAGGTAACTCCTCCAACCATTTCACTACTACGTTGGAGTCGAAGTAGTTTTTTACATTTCATGTATTCTTATGTCAGAATCGTTTAATCAAACGCTCAGCTGCCTCCATAAACCCCTACTCGCGAAATGGTGGAGTTGACAGAGAGAGCCGCCATCTTGGTCCCGCTTCAGATTTTCAAATGTTAATATCTAGAGTTCAGACAAACCAATATCCAAACAACTTACATAGTAAGCATCAATCAAAGGGTCTCTATTATCATTCCAAAAATTAATAAAAAATATTGAAAAACTAAAAAGTTAGAAAATGCAATTTTTTTAATTCGCTTCTCCTAACGACAGGAAGTACCGACGACGAACGAAGAGTCGCGTCCTGGATGGTATATATCACGATCTTTAATCCTTGAAAGTTTCATGTTGATATCTTTTACCGTTTTCGAGTTTAATCGTGGACAAAATGTCATTTTAATTTCAGAAAATTGCCCGTAACTTGGCACCGGAAGTGAGTTTCCAAATTTTCTCTCAGATATTATAAATTCGTGTTACGACACATCTTTTCTGAAAAATTCATGTAATTTCATCCGGTAGTTTTCGAGAAATCGCGTGCACAAAATTAGAAAGTCAGAAAAATAAGAATAATAATAATAACTAGATACGATCTCGTTGCGAGCAACGAGTGGGTCTTCCGTCCAATTCTTGATGAGATGAGATAAGATTTTGATTCCGATTTTCATTCTAAAATAATGATTTACCACAATCTGTAAAAAGACATTGAACATTAAAGACTTAAAAAATCAACTTTTGGCCCCCTAACGGCCCCTGATTTTTGGAATCGGCCCTTTTTTATTCATATCATCTTAAAGCTCTTAAGATTTTGACATTTTTTGCTCAACAACTATTCAGAAATTCTTTTTCGTTTTTGAGCTATTAGCAAAAGAAATATTAAGGGCCCAACCCTTCAACTCTCTAATGGGGACGTTTAGCAGAAAATGAAAGGTTGCATATTGTTCAGAACATTATTTTAAACATCTTTTGTTCAATTTTGCTTATCAAAATATTTCTCACTTTCGAGATATAAAGCGTCAAAGTTTTAACATTCTGGCCCCTTATGGCCCCTAATTATGTACCATACGACATAAAAATCATAATATTTAGTTGAATATTGTTAAGATAAACATCTTTGCTTCAGTAATGTATTACAAAATATTAACTCGTAAAGAGTTATCCATTGAGGATTTCGGCCCTTCTTGGCCCCTAATTTGAGCGCCCAGCCCCTTTTTCTTGATTTCATTTTAAAGCTCCTACGATTTTGAACACTTTTTGTTCAACAAGTATTCAGAGATTCTTTTTCGTTTTTGAGCTATTAGCAAAAGAAATATTTAGGGGCCAACCCTTCGACTCCTTAATGGGGACGTTTAGCAAAAAATGAAAGGCTGCATATTGTTAAGAACATTATTTTGAACATCTTTTGTTCAATATTGCTTATCAAAATATTTCTTCCTTTCGAGATGTAAAGCATCAAAGATTTAGCATTCTGGCCCCTTGTGGCCCCTAATTATGTACCATACGACATAAAAACCATAATATACAGTTGTAGATGGTTAAGATAAACATCTTTGCTTCAGTAATGTATTACAAAATATTAACTGATAAAGAGTTATCGATTGAAGACTTTTGGCCCCTCTTGGCCCCTAGTTCGAGTGCCCAGCCCCTATTTTAAAATCTCATCTTAAAGATCTTAAGATTTTGAACATTTTGTGTTCAACAACTGTTCAGAAATTCTTTTTCGTTTTTGAGCTATGAGCAAAAGAAATATTTAGGGGCCAACCCTTCGACTCCTTCATCGGGACGTTTAGCAAAAAATGAAAGGTTGCATACTGTTTAGAACATTATTTTGAACAACTTTTGTTCAATATTGCTTATCAAAATATTTCTCCCTTTCGAGATATAAAGCGTCAAAGATTTAGCATTCTGGCCCCTTGTGGCCCCTAATTATGTACCATACGACATAAAAATCATAATATATGGTTTTAGATGGTTAAGATAAACATCTTTGCTTAATTAATGTATTATAAAATATTAACTGATAAAGAGTTATCGATTGAAGACTTTTGGCCCCTCTTGGCCCCTAATTCGAGTGCCCAGCCCCTTTTTGGGATCTCATCTTAAAGATCTTAAGATTTTGAACATTTTGTGTTCAACAACTCTTCAGAAATTCTTATTCGTTTTTGAGCTATAAGCAAAAGATATAATTAGGGGCCAACCCTTCAACTCCTTAATGGGGACGTTTAGCAAAAAATGAAAGGTTGCATATTGTTTAGAACATTATTTTGAACATCTTTTGTTCAATATTGCTTATCAAAATATTTCTTCCTTTCGAGATATAAAGCATCAAAGATTTTGCATTCTGGCCCCTTGTGGCCCCTAATTATGTACCATACGACATAAAAACCATAATATACAGTTGTAGATGGTTAAGATAAACATCTTTGCTTCAGTAATGTATTACAAAATATTAACTGATAAAGAGTTATCGATTGAAGACTTTTGGCCCCTCTTGGTCCCTAATTCGAGTGCCCATTCCCTTTCTCGGGATTTCATCAAAAAGGTCTTAAGATTTTGAACATTTTGTGTTCAATAGCTATTCAGAAATTCTTTTTCGTTTTTCAGCTATAAGCAAAGGAAATATTTAGGGACCAACCCTTCAACTCCCTAACGGGGACGTTTAGCGAAAAATGAAAGGTTGCATATTGTTCCGAACATCATTTTGAACATCTTTTGTTTAATATTACTTCTCAAAATATTTCTCACTTCCGAGATATAAAGCGTCAAAGATTTAGCATTTTGGCCCCTTTTGGCCCCTAATTATGTAATATATGACATTAAAATCAAAAGATACAGTGGTAGATTGTGGAGATAAACATTTTTGCTTCAGTTATATATAACAAAATATCGACTGTTAAAGAGTTATCGAAAAAAGACTTTTAGCCCCTCTCGGCCCCTAATGTGATGAGTCAGCACTTTTTTCTTGATATCATATTAATGATCTTGTCATTCTGCACAAATATTGCTCAGTATGTTTTAACAAAATAATTATACTTTAAAAGATATGATACAAAATGTCTCGAAAATCCACTCTTGATTCGTGTCCTATATTTTGACCCCTACCGAGCTTCCATACTAGGCACTTCCGGAAAATTTGAGAACCATTGTGCACATTGGCAACATGTCCTCTATCTTTGGTAAAAATTCCAGTGTTCTAGCTTAAGCCGTTCCTGAGTTCTGGTGCAGACAAAGAGGTCCTCTAAATTTCGATTAAAGGGCAATAACTTCCGACCGGAAGTGAATTTCGAAAAAATAAAAAAAATGGATCAGGTTTAGTTGACGACACACCTTTCCTGAAAATTTCAAGTTGATCGATCGAGCCATCTCCGAGAAATCTTCTGCACAAAAATTGTAAGAAAAAAAGGAATAATAATAATAAAAGTGAAAAAGAAACAATAGAATAATAGAAGGGTCTTCCGTTGGAGACGGAAGACCCTAATAATAATAATAATAATAATAAGAAACAATAGAATCACTGTAAGGTCTTCCGTGAAGACGGAAGACCTTATAACCAAAAATCATATTTTCTTCTTCAGATTGACATTGTCACTGAAGAAACGGCTTATGTCGGCTTACAATCTGGAGTCCATCAAGGCTGTTGCATGGGGTATCACTCATGAAGATGATGCTTTGAGAAAGTATGAAAAGGACTTTGATGCAGCTGTAGAGCAGTCAGGTATACAGCACAAAATAATATTCCTTCAACCACTGACATGTTAACATTCACTGTGTCAAAACAAATAACAGGACTTATCCTGGTGACAAACAGAAATCAATTACTGAAGTCTAATTGTAAAAAAAAATATTCAATTACCAACATATTCCAGAAAATTTGCTGGAAATCTATTTGAAGTGGAAGGATTATAAAAGCTCTACTTAGACTTTGTTTGCATTACAAAATAATTGTATTATGGTTTGTTTGCATTCAGTAGTACATGTATTATAATTTTTTCTGAAAGGGATATGGTTGCATGAATCCGGAGTGTTGGGAGCTTCACCTGATGGCTTAGTTGTTTGACCACCAACATGCAGTGTATTTTATCAAACTCCAGAAGCCAAAGACGCCATTTCTGATACTGTAGAGGTGAAGTGTCCATACACAGCATCGTCTTCAACAGTAGCAGATGCAGCACAAAATTTGAAGGATTTTTTCATAGGTAAATAACAAATTATAAGTTGGATTAAAAATCTGTATTGTCCAGTACTTTGAAATTAAAAATCTTGGTGAGTAAATGATTTCAATACATGTATTAATTTACAAGTGCAACTGTTCAATATGGTATTAAGATATGGAAAAAGGAGGGGATATGAATTGGTATAACACAACTTAAGTGTTTTTTGATTTTTTTAGGTCTTAAACAAGATACCCTGTGCCTGAAAACCAGTCACCCATACTATCATCAAATTCAAGGCCAGCTACACATATGTAACAAAACATGCTGCGACTTAATTGTGTGGACAAGAGTAGACTGCATTGTGATTAGAAT